ACTTAACAGATTTCAACATTAAAATTCATCAGTGCTTCCATAGTTTTATCCAAAATTCTGTTTATTTAACGAATATCTATTGCTTTTCATCCGGCCGATTGGTCACTATTGTGATTTCAGAATGACATCATCAACAGCAAAACGCTTCGAATCCTCATCGCTCGGTTGGAAAAAGAAAAAAAAAAAAAGGCCAGGTTGTGTCTTTTTCTGTTCCCCGAGTCTGGCGATGATACAAGCAAGCTGCACCAAAGCTCAGAGAGTCAGGAGAATGTCGCATTAACACATGGACTAATCTCACACCTGCAGTCAGGTCAGCCGTCTTGCGCACTGCAGCACTGCCCCTCTGTGGTGGCTAGTGGGCACTACCGTTTTGCAACCCTCTCAGCTATGGACACGCAGGCAGGATACTGGGCCGGTGATTGCAGGAAAAGCACTTGTTGAGCACCACTGAATGTGTGTTGGACAGCAGCTTGGGGAGTGTTATCACGCTGGGGTTTCATTCAAATTCTAAGAGCAGATATGAGGTTTATACCTTAATCAGCGACAACATTAAAACCGCTCACCTCTTTCTGTATTGGTCGCTGTGGTATCAGGCACCAAGACGTCATCAGTAGATCTGGGAAACTGCAAGGCTGGGCTTCCATGGATCAGATGTGTCCTTCAGATGCTCAATCGGTTTGAGGTTGGGAGAATTTCCAGGAACATGTGACGACCTGGCTGAAAACTGCCGCAACAAAAGGAGACACACCGAGGTTCAAACATTAAAACTTGTCTTTATTCACTTAAATTCAACCAAATTAAAATCCAAGTGAGAATACACAGACTCAGTGGTGTGTGTGATGTATGTGTTGTAAATGCAAACATCCTAAATGACGAAACGAACCCACAACCAGACCGCTGTGTTACCTGCAGAGGGAAGCAAACGGTGATTAGACCGCAGTCAGCCCTGAACTAACCCATTCAAATGATCAGCTCATCATCAAGCTCTGCAGAAGCCTGATAACGATCCTGATCATTTGAATCAGGTGTGTTGGAAGAGGGGAACATCTCAAACATGCAGGACTGTGGACCCTCGAGGACCAGGATTGGACACCCCTGATGTAGATGAACTAGAACCACCCACAAGATACAAGATGACCTCAGGGGTCATCACAAACCAAATCATTTCTGAACAATGTGTCATCACACTGAAAGAGAAACAGGGAATCTTGTTCCAATGAAGGGGTGGTTGTGGTTTTCAACATTCAGGTACATATTAAAGTCTACATGACCAAGGTTTCCCACCAGCACATTGGTAAGAGCAGCACATTGTCTCACTGGCTTGCCTGCGTCCCACAGTGCAGATAGTTTCTCGATTGCCCAACAGTCCGCAGTCGCTTCTAGTCTGTGGGTTCCAGGTGGCAAGAAAAGCTGCACTGATGCATGAAGGTAATATTAGTTATGGAAGTGAAAGTGTCACCACAAACACAGGCAGAACTGGTTGCACGGACCAGGTCGGACCCACAAGTTGGAGGAAACCGAACACTAAGCTAAAGTCAGGAGGCAACTCGCGAAATACAGGGATGTCGTTCTGAGTTCAGGAGCTGTTCAGAGCAACAAGAATCTGGATCATAAGCCTCGGTTGGATCCGGAGCCTGGTGGGAAGTAGCATCGGACCACAGCAGGATGGAGATGGGTATCTGGTTGAAGCTTGAGGCTTGAACAGAACCGATAATAAAGAATCGAGTTGAACCCAAGTGTGGAGAACAAGCAAATTTGCAACTCTAAATCTGCGTCCCTACAAAGAGTCTGACTCCGGCTTTTATAGCAGAAGGTGGACTCGTGTGACCAAACCTCCTGTGCAGCTCTCTGAAATCCAACAAAGGGTGCCATCCTACACCATCTCACACCATCTCTGTAAGGATGGCAAAAATTTAAAAAAATATGTTCAGAACCAGGTGCGGCTAAAACATTAAAAAGCAGAGTCCCGCGGTGCCTCAGCGATTATTGAACCATGATCACCCTGAGTGCTGTATGACACATGTATCCACAGCAGAGGCAGATGGCCAACGTGCAAAAAAAAAAGAAAAAGAAAAAAAACTGTGAAGACAGATGGGGGACCATGGAAATGCCCTCGCACAAGAAGCTTACTGGTTTGGTGCTGGAAGCCACAATCTATTGGCATTAAGATGAATCCGATGCTAAGTGGAACATATATGCCAGGGACAAAAAAAGGATGCAACATACAGAACTGCACTGTGCATGAGCATCCATATAGTCTTCTGTTGCGCAGCCTAAGTTCTAAAAGTCATCCCAACACCAAAGCTTGAGAAACACGAGACAAAAACATGAGTTAAGTTTTCTCTATTTGGTCGTTTGATCCCTTCGTGTCGCATCCAGCCGCCTGTAGTGTTGGCTAAGCTGCTGGAGCGGCGTTATCGTGATTAAAGGCAGAGCAATTTATGTCATGCTGACCAGAAAATGTGGAGACGAGGAGTCATGTGAGAGGTTCATATATAGTCTGTCATTGCCGCCGACTAAATTACAATTAAAGAAAAGGCTGCAGCGTGAACAGACAGTGTGAGGCGGTCGCTTATTTGAGGCGAGCTACAGGTTTTTCATGCACTTCTGTCAAAAAAAGTGGGAATCTATTAAACTCATTTATGCAGAAAGGAGCATCTCTAATGAAGATATCAAGTTTCATGTTTTCAGTGTCAAAATGCAAGTCTGTATAACCAAAATAAAAGATATGTCTGGTTTTACAGCTCATATCTTTAAAAGCTGTTCTCTCAAAATGTTTTTTTCTTCTGAGCTGGCCTCTCTACAGAAGGGTTTGCTCAAATATCGCCTCATTTATAAATGACTGTTTTTCCTGTAAATGTGCCGAAAATTAGAAAAAAGATATCCACAATCCCCTCTGACAATATCGTCCGTGTCTGTATTGATGAGTTGATTCAGCTGCAGTGTTTCCTCTTAAGCCTGCAGAGAGTTATCAAGTGAATCAGAGCTCCGCTTGGCTTCACAGAGCTGCACGGTGACGTTCACCTCTTCACCCGTCTGTCTCTTCCACTCTTGCTGCTGTCACCGTGTTATTTTCAGAAGCGGCAGGAAGCTGGTTTTCTGAGAAAAAAAAAAAAAAAAGCTCCAACAACCCAACAGGCTGCACCAAACAGCAGAGACGTTTAACGGCTGCAGAGCACGAAATGTCCCTCAGGATCACCCAAAAAACAAATTATTGAATGTTATATGAAGATGTAAAATATCAATGTTTAGGTTTTGATGTGGACTTTTATGTGACGCACTCCAAAAAATCCTGTTAAAAAAATAATAATAAAAAATTGTGAAAATCTGACAACAAGGTTTCCAGAAAACTAAATTATTATTTTTTTTAATAAAATAAAGAATAAAATAATTCAATAATGGTGTAAATAAACTGTAAAAATAACAGCAAATATCTGTAAAATAATTGTATTTATAGTTGATTTAAATGCAATAAAACTGTAATTTTACAGTAAGACAAATACAGATTTTTGATGTGGACATTTACAGTTTACGCCTGTTTTTTTTTTTTGCTGTTTTTACAGTCAACATGTCATTTATTATTATTTTTCTGTCATTTTACTAAAAAATTACCTGGAATTTAACAAAACAGGGACAAGTTGTGAATTAACATTTTTTTTAAAGACCATTTTTCCATCCTTAATATTCAGAAATATTATTTCAAATAACAGCAAATATGTGTAGAATATTTTTTTATATGTTTTTTTTTTAATAGAACACAAAATATAGATTATTTTTGATGTGGACAATATTTACAGTTTTGGCCTGTTTTTTTTTATGGTTAAGTTGGTAAATCAATACTTTTTTTCCTGTGATATTTCTAGTTCTTATCTGTAATTTATTTTTTAAAAAACGCAGATAATCTGTAAAATAACACAAATTTAAATTCAAAAAGCTAGTTAAAATCTCCTAAAAAAAATATTTTGTTATTGTGCAATTATTCTAAAACATGCTCTCACAATGTACACTGAATGTTTTTCGCCTCTCGCTTTCTTGCACAATTTTTATTTTTATTTTATATTTTGTTTTTCAGCCGAGCAGTTTGAAAGCTGCTACTCTGTGTTGCAGGATGTGCAACACAGAGTTTAAACGATGTCTTATTCTATATTTGTACAATCTGTGGTGATACGAACTTGCTTTATGACTCTTTGAGTCGTATCTCTGACCACATATTAGCTTCCATGACATCTGTGCAGCGGGACAAACACGTTTTAAGTTTATAGAGCAACACTGGTGCTGGATTGGGAATTGGCAAATATGTAAGGATACAGAGAGGAAACCAGTTACTTCATGCAGCTCTCGCTCTGGAGACATTCACATGGATCCTGCTGCTGCTCAAAGCTGCAGTGAAGTCAGAGGAAAGACTCCTACGAACAGCTGGAAGCAGAAAAGTCAACAGGGTTGCATTTATTACTGGTGAGTCTCATTAAAGACATTTCTGTTTGTAATTAAGGTAGTAAGATTTATGATTGGAGCATGTCTTTCGTGCTCTCGGATGTTTTTCGGCTCATACTGGTGCCAAAAAGGGCTCCTTAGAACGCTTCCCTGCAAGGATATGCAGCTTAGACCGGTGTTGAAAGTAGATCGGACCTGGTAGTCACGACTTTTATAGAAAGGGTGCTCATTTAGAGATTATGTTGGTTCCTTTAGATGCTGTCAGGTTCATTAAAATGTCTGTTAAGGGGTTTATGATGCACAACACAGAAGATGCAATAACAACTGATGCACTTTTGAATCTCTCCCACTTCCAATGCAGCAACAAACCAAACTAATATCGACTGTTTATTCTGATTTTTGGACTGTGGGAGGAAGCTGCACGAGGAGAACATGCAAACTCCACACAGAAAGATCCTCAAACCGACGACCATCTTGCTCCGAGGCGACGATGCTAACCACCGCTCCACCTTGCAGCCCCTCGATGTGTATTTAATATCAAAATATGGCACAACAGCTTTCAAATTTGTTCATCATCTGGAGGTATATGTGTGATGTTTTTATTGAAGATGACCAGCACCATATGAAGTGACTTCTCCACCAGCAGAACACCACTTCCTGCTTGTTTTCCCAACCAAAAAAAAAACCACCACGACACACGTTTCCCACCTAAAGCAGCCTCAACTTGAAACAGCGAGTGAAATTTATTTGAATTAAATAAAGTCTCGTACATTTCACAGCTATAGGGGCCTACATAGTAAGCAAAACAAAGTCTACTCTTTGTCCGTGTGCAGAACTACACCACAGGGTAGTTCGAGACGGTTTCGTCTGAATGCGGGAGGGAGGGAAGGGAAGGGAGACGGCTGGTGGAGAGAAGAGGGCCGAAGCCTCACGTTACTCTGCGAAACATTGGCTGATGTAAAAAAAAACAAGAAAAAGAAGAAGATACCGTCCTCAATGTGTGGCTTCAGGAGGCATTTTCATGCTGATTCCTTTCAATACCATCCACCTTTTTAAAAAAATGTTCTGTCTGCGATATTTTTTAATTTTTTTTTACCATATTACCATGCTTTAAAGGCAAATAGCTGAAGTTCCTTGTGATGAACACGTAGCGGCTGGATTCATGATATTTTCGTGATACTGTATGGTAAACTTCTGGTCTTTTGCACCCTCTCCGAAATGGACGTTTAACATTTTGTAGTGAAGCTTTGTCAGATATTAACAGAATCTACTTTTGGAAGAGTCTCTCGGGCGAACGTCGGCGTCACGTTCGGTAGCTTGACTCGGGTTGTTCCATTCTCCCTCGCCGGACTTAAGACAGCACCGCCTGGGCGTTCTTGATGCCAACCAGGTTGTCCGCGCTGACGGACCTCCTCATTGCAGATTTGCTGAGGTCCTTGTACTTGTCCTCACACAGCCTGGAGATGGCCTGGAGACGATATGAGAAGAACGTGTTACAACCAAAGGAGGAGGAGAGGTGTAAAGGCATAACGCAGACTGGGATGCACTCACCTCCAGCTTCTGGGCCCGCTTGTTGCTGAGCGGCTCCAGAGGGAAGCTGAGGTTGTTGTCGTCAGCCAGCGAGCGCAGGTCGAAGTAATACTTGGCGTAGACGCTGGCCGGGACGTTGATGTTGAACTGGAGCAGCTCCAGGAAGTGACGCTCCATCTCGTTCCTGCGAAACACGGGTCAGAGAAGTTGTAAGTTTTATAAAAAAGAAATCCGTCCGATTGTAATAAGTTACCACATTTAGGCCCCGTTCACAGGTAGAAAGAAAACGGTGATACAGTCGTGACTCGATATTCTGACTCTCAACAATCCTAAACCTCGCTATCCGACAGGTTTTTAGGAAAAACGAACAGAACCCATGAAAAAAAAGCCTTGGATTCTGACTCCGACATGACAGTTTATGCCACAAATGAGGATAACGGCGTATTATCTGACTGAACAATCCCACACTTTGGTTATGTTCAGACTGCAGGACTTAATGCTCAATTCAGATTTTTTTTCGTTCACATTTCCGATTCAGTGCGACTTGTATGTGATCTGCTGTGTGAACTTCATACGACCCAAAAGTGTCCCACATGCGCAGAAGAGGACCCTACGACGTCACACACAGCGAGCGTGCTCAGAAAGTAAACACGGTTGGTAACGGTGGAGCACATAGATATGTTTAATAAAGGCTAGATGTCTTAAGGCGGCGTTTCGAACGGGATCACACTTTGGCCATCTTGACACGGGGAAGCTCTCTGGTGGAACCTGTGGTGCGTGAAGGAAGGTGAGTGACCTGCACAAATACTCTTATCTCGCTGACATCTTGACGGATTTACAAACGGTTTGGTTTCTTACAAACGTTATTAAAGTGGCTACAGTTCAAATTGCAAAAATACAAATAAATTACAAAATAACTAAAATACAAATTGTGTCATAAGTGTAGTGTTATAACTACACCTCTGACGTTTATAACAAACCAAACTGTTTGAAAATCGGTAGCAAACTGAGCAAGTTATGGTTATTTAAAAAGTACATGCACTACTACAACACAACGTTACGGGTGCCAAGATGGCCGCCAGTGTGGCCGTGCGATTCCATTGGCCAGCTGAGACATCCAGCCTTAACTATACATATCTATGGTTAAGAGAAGCCTATGTTCTGAAGAACTTTTCATGTTCAGAATTGTTATTAATAAAGATTGAGAAGATTGGATCAATTGTATTTTTTATTTTTTTTTGGATACTTGAAACCCTTTCTTTGTGGAACACTTGCCTCACCCAGACTCCATCTCCAGCAGCCCCCAGGTAAGTTCAGTTTGAGACCCCTGCTCTGGAGCAATTCATTCATTCAGTTCCAACACAAACTACTTGCAAAATGATTGCGACTTCCAACACATTACTCCTGTAAATATTCTGTATCATAGCAACCAAAGCATCTGAGCTGAAAAAAAAGTGCTTTTAAGTGCTTCCAGCTGGCAAAAAAAAAAAAAAACTTTGATCGTGAGGTAACACTCACATGTCCTCCACTGTGATGTCTTTGAGGATCTGGCAGTAGTCCACGTTCCACACCGCCTGGTCGTCCCAGACCTTCGAGGCCAGCAGGATGGCGCCGAGAACGATGCGCTTCCAGTTGCAGGGGCAGATGTCCATCTCGGCGTAAGTCAGCAGCCTTTCCAGGTACACCTAGCAGAGGACGCACCTGTTCACAGCAGCCAACACGTACACACAACGCCGACGGGGACGAGAGCATCTGAACCTACCAGGGTGACGATGGCGCACTCGGCGGTGAGCTGCGCGGAGCTGAAGAGCGTCCTGATGAAGCGGTAGATGAGCTTGTGTTCTGGGTCGACCACGGAGTAGTCGTCCGGAACCTTTTCTCGCTGTTGGGCAGAAGAGGCACTGTCACCGGTTCGTCAGCAAACACGGGACGCTTAGAGCGATTAGACGCCAAAAACTCACCGACAGCGGGTGCTTCTTCTCGTCGAATATATCCAGCGAGCGGTTTGAATCTCTGCAGGAGCATGAACAAGTCAGTGTTTTACTTTGATCCCAGTGTACAGACATCAACAGCAGTGATTCATTTATGCTGCTAATTCAACAGCAACTCTGATATTCTCCAGTTTGTTGAAAGCCAGTTGACCCACCTGTTTTTTATGTGGTAGTATATGGCCAATGCGACACTGGAACAGACAGAAGCAAGCACAAACAATCAACTGCTAGACAACATTTGCACCAAACGACAGCTTCTGTATGAAGAAAATTGACTTTTTATTTTGCAGGACATGTATGTGTACATTTGCAATTGCACCATATCTTGCAACTTATTTGGGAAATATTTCACCTTAAGACAAGATATAGTATATTGATAAGCCAGAAACAGCTTCCTGGTGTGACGTGGAAAGTTGGTATGCAGTAATAACGTGATAATTGTGTCTCAGCTTGTGTTAGCGGTTAGCGTGATATGTCAGTTTTAATGGCTCATTCGTAATATTCAAAGTTCGTCTAAGTAAAATAAAAAAATCAGGCTGTTAGCGTTGTGAAACCGAGGTGGTCTCCTACCATTTGATGGTGCTCTTGAGGTTGGGTTGGCTGACTGTGCTGTCGTCGATGAATATCGTCGAGCAAGAACTGTATTTTTTCGTCAGGAGCCCCGGGGATGTCTGGAATAGAAAAGAGTGACAACGCTTAAGCAACCTTGGAGAAGTTTCATCTCGAACACGGCTGGGTTAAAAGGGAAAAGGGAAATGCTTTAAATTATTCAGGCATTCACAGCACAAATCCCTCACTTAAATCCTGGGGAAAAAAAATTGCATTTCTTGGCCCTGATTTGATGGTTTCTCTCTGTTAAAACCGCATCAAGCACATGCAGACTCATCACTCACATGATTCATGTAGTTGCTTTTCCTTTTCTCACGTACTGGAATGGAGGGGGGAAAAAAAAACAAGTCAGGGAGATAAGAAGTTTCAGAGAACAGAAGGAACAAAAGAAAATCCTAATAATACTGACCGTCTGTCTGCGACTTGTTTAGGAAGAGGGTGCTGGCTCTGGGGTGGTCTGATGGGTTGGCCTCCTGAGCCAGTTCTGTGGGATGCAAGTGTTAAAGTGCTTTTATTACTAAAATGGGTCAACGCAGAATACAGCCGACGTGGCAGCTCTGTGTGTGTCTGCTAAACTGAATACGGGATCAAATGCTCAGTTTAAATGGTATTAAATTGGTTAAACTTTACCACTGCAGGGTTTAACTGTGAAACATTAGGAAACAAAACAAAAAATGTCGACCATTTACCATCTAAGGAACTGTTTTGAGCAATCATTCTTTCATTCTTTGCTCTCCGGAAGCAAAGAGAGTGCAAACGGCAGATCAGTCATGTGGGTTAAAGGTTTACGATCTCTAAACATGTTCAGAAAAGTTGCTTCCATCCCTCATCATGTGCATTTACTCCTTTTTGGAAGGGGTTAAAAACCACTTTGTGCAAGTGTGGAAACTTTCTCACAAAAGTTGTGTATTTTTTTATTGCTTAATATCTAAAAATGTGCAGAATATTGTTTCCTCGGTTGACAGAAATCTGTGCAAAACAGGTTTTCCCCAATTCTTATCATTTTGGCAATGATGACCTCCCTTCGTTCTTGCTAATAGCACTTTCTAAGTAGGCCTGAGCCATAAAACAAACTGATATGCACCATGTAAAATCGTGGCAAGTGAAAGTGAAAAAACAGGAGCAGGCTGAAGGAGAAAAAATTACGTCGCGTGATTCAAGTCCTAGCATGTTCCTGTTCTGACTCATAAACAGCCGATCATCTCGCTTGGTGTTGGAGACCCTTTTGCCTCTGTCGCTCAGGTCTGCCAAGGCTGGCTAGTCTGCGGCTGGCTGGGGATCTTGTCTCTCTAATCGAGCCAACAGATCTGCCAGCGAGTACCAAAAAACACCAGCGACCCTGTATCCTCCCATCACCTTTATCTACACATTCAGGACAGGCTGCTCCGAGGGCTGACAGATGATGTGACAGATTGATGCGTCTTTACTTCATGTGTATCAAGGTGAGATCATTCCCTTATCTACTGTATTTATATCCATTTCTAACAGTTATGTTGACATTAATTGATTACCTGTGGACCTTGATAAGCAGACTGAGGTGCATCAGCTCAAATGAAACTCCTGCGCTTCATCAAATATAGGTCACCAATAACCAATATCAACTGAGATAAAGCATTTTATCGTGATGTTCTTTCCAACCCTCTACGCAGGAACAAACCCTGCACTGATCTTGCACACATTCACACTCCTAAGCGTCCTTTAAACTCCCCAAAAATAGCAGTCCGACTAATCGTAACGCACCATCTGGGAGCTCCCTGTCGCTGATGTGCTGCAGGTAGGTCCCGGTGTCTTCGCTCACGTCCTCTGTGGTGGTGATGGGACACTCCTCGAGTTCCACCTCTCTCCTGTGGATCTTGGGACTCTCTCCGGGAGAGATGCAGCAAGACACTGAGCCTCCCATGGTTGACCTACAGCAGTCCTGCTACAGCCAGTTTCCCATACAACTGAGGAGGGTGGGGGGGGGACTAGTCAAAGAGGCACCACTGGGCTGCAGCTTACACACAGTAAATCTTTTAGAGGAGGAGGGGGGAAGATAAACAGTGTAACACCTAAGTAAATATAAAGTTGCACTCTAGTTTAGTGGGGCTAGCTTTCAGATAAACCTACATTTGATTGTTTTTAAATTATAGCTTGGTATAGAAGGGAACAATCTAGGCTGTTGGAGTGAAAACAGCACAACTGGCTCTATGTACTGACAACCAAGTCTGCAGTATGTGCAGGACAGCTGACATATTCAGGGCGTGTGCGCAGCATAGCACTGGCGCACTTTAACAACACTTACATACGTGGGCTGGGTAGTTGTGGACGGTGAATAACTCACAGCAAGTCATTTTTACGGATTAAGAGTCTAACAAGACAAAGTCACAGGCTCCTCTATCTCCCTCCATGGCTAGCCGGCTAACGCTAGCTACCGCACCTCAATCCATTCTTGGCTCCTTTCGGCGGGCGTGAGTCAATCCATTTTCGCCGCAGCCCGAGTCTCTTGTCGCGGTTACGGGCGCCTCCGAGCGGACTATAACGGGCGAATTCACCGGCTGGAGAACGCTCTGCAGACGGCTAAGGAAGCGGCGGGGCAGCGGGTGTTAAAAATGTAGCCGACGTTAGCTTTCATCTCGTCGCATTTGCGGGAGTCTTTGGATGTCAAACAGACAGTGAGCGGCGAGGTTCAGAGGTAACCGCTGGCCCTTTCAAAGTAAAAGTCCGCATTAGGCGCTTTAAGCGGAAAGCCAAGTCAAGCTACAGATTATGCGCACATTAAAGTAAATATGAAGCATTGTGTATGAGAAATACAATGACAAGAAAAAAACTCTATTACTACCCTATTTTTTTTTTCAAGCAACTTTTTTTTGTGTTCATTATTTGATTTAAAAAAAAAGAATAATAATACTGTATTGAGTGGATAAAATCTGCATTCCGTAGTTTTTGTTATTTGCTTCATCAGTTGAGCTTTAATTTCTCTCCACCATTTCGGTTTAGCTGCTTCGCCAGAGGTCAAAAACTTCATCGCCAAAAGAGTTCCTTTTTTCAGATTTTATTTTAAACACGGAAACACAAATGAAAACGGAAACTACGTTGCTGCTACGTATCGTTAGCTTTACACACTTCTGGTGCAAGCCACGCCCCCCACCATTACTGAGAACCCACAGCCGTTGAGAAAAACCGTGCAGACACGCCCATCCCAAAGACGGGCTTTCCCATTGGTTAGTTTTATCGAAGCTGTTGCGTGATTGGCTGAGATTACTCATTGAGGCGTCTCAGAAGGAAGAGACTCGTCGTTCTAAAACAAGAAGACAGAGTCGGTAGTTTCTGAGATATGAGGCTAAATACTGGGCTTATATTTCAAAGAAAACACAAACAATGACAATAAATTGAACAAAGAGGCGGATATAAATGAGTATACAATCTCCAGAAGATGGCGGTAGTGAATCAGTAAAGCCGCCCTAAAACCACGAAGAAGAAGAGCTGCAGTGCGCATGCGTAAAGAACACAAGTAAATTTAATTAAAAGCATGGCTCTGGTTCCTTATGTAGAAAATCCATTGCCTGCGTTGTCCAAACTGCAAAATTCATCAGCAGAGTTTCGGTTTGCAAACCACGACTTGCGTCTCAGCCAGGACTGGAAAAAGCTCGGGGTAGCAGCAGTCGTGTGGGATGCGGTAAGTGGCAACAACACTTGTATTATTATAACAATTGAAACACGTTTGATTACAATGCATGTTTGTTTTCCAGGCAGTTGTGTTGTGTATGTATCTGGAGCTGGGGGAAGTGGAGGTGAACGGGAAGTCTGCTATTGAACTGGGAGCTGGAACTGGACTGGTGGGAATTGTTGCAGCCCTGCTGGGTGAGTTTATTAAGCATTTGTAAGGCTTGTGAGAAACACTGAGGGGTATCAGAGGTGTGGATGTCCTGGAGGATGCAGGGGATGTGAGGAACAATTGTCCCTCCCACATTTTGTGTTGCTTAAAGCTTCTCCACAATGGATAACAATTCACCAGGATGCAGGAAATTAAATGCATCCTGTAATATAGCCGTAAGAAAGTGATTCTAAAGTAGATTCCTGACAGAATAAATGTATTTCTTACGCTGTTGTGCAGTCTGATTTGTTACAAAGGTAGTAGTTTATCAACACTGAAGGATAACACTTCTCTTGTAATTAAACATATTGTAAAACACAAATAAACAAAAGTATTTCAGCTAAGTTTTGGGTTCAAGTTTGTGCCGATTCATCTTTGATGCCAAGATCTGCACATGCAAATATTATTCTTATTGTTTGGCTTGATTGGTAATAATCATCATCTGTCCTGAAAACAGAACCAAACAAAAGCTTCTTGCACCTTTTAGAATGTCTTTAAAAGGAAAACACAAAACTCATTCATCATTTAAAGCAGTACAATGCTGGATCCTCTCAAGCACTCTATGACTTTCAAATATTCAGCCTCCCGTCTTTCTAATTCTTGATTTTTCCAGGTGCCAAAATGACCATCACCGACAGAGAACCAGCCCTGGACTTCCTTTCCGCCAACGTAAAGGCAAATCTTCCCGCCGACTCCCAGAGCTCGGCGGTCGTGTCCGAGCTGACCTGGGGCGAGGGCCTGGAACGCTACCCGGCCGGCGGATACGATCTGGTCCTGGGAGCGGACATCGTTTACCTGGAGGACACGTTTGAGCCTCTGCTGCAGACTCTGGAGCACCTGTGCTCGGACGCCACCGTGGTGCTGCTGTCCTGCAAGATCCGCTACGAGCGGGACACAAACTTTTTGAGCATGCTCAAGCAGCGGTTCGGAGTGGAAGAGGTGTACTACGAGAAGCAGCGGGACATCCACGTGTATAAAGCTCAAAAACTACCACCGAGGAGGGATTTGTGACCGCCTTGTTCTTTTCACTTCCTGCCTTTTGATTGACTGTAAGAAATGAAAGATTACCAGAAACACATTTATTAACAGCTGCCAAAAATGTAATATTTGAAAAGCTCTAACATAATGCACTGTATCATACAAGTTGGTGCTGACATTTAGAAATTGTGAATAAAAAAAAATAATCATGAAAAGCAACATAAAAAAAAGCATACTATTTTATGACTATACACAATACCTAAAGAATACAATGTGGCATTCCATTATAATGAAAATATCCATTTTGTTCACTGAAGTTTCTTTTTTTTTTTGAAGTTTTTTTTTCTTTTTCGATTTGGTCACACTTCCGTCGAAGGGTGTTCGATAGGTAAAACAGGTGAGATCTGACGCTCCATAAAATCAACAACGTCTCGCATGCCTTTGATGATTTAACGCGCAACAAAACACTCGTGGACGCTCGATGATTAATTACAGTTTCTCGAGTAAAAAAAATCTTCCGAGGCCTCTCGACAGGCTGTGCTGAGATTCTTCTGTGAAATGTTACAGGATTGTAGATGCAAAGAAAGTGCGCATGCCACTTTGTGTTAAGCGGATTTTGGAGACGGGCTCTGCTTTGAGGTTGTTGCTCTTTTTAATTACATGTATAGACTGTATGTAAAAAAAAAGATGGATGTAGAAGAAGCTGGTGTGTTGGTGACTTTGAAGCCCCGAGTTTGGGCATGTTTTGAAACTGGATTTGACGAGCATGGGGTATTTTTTTGTCTAAACGGGACCATAATTTACAATAAGAGCATCTCGCTGTTTAAAAGGAAACCTGAAATTAACAGTTGAGGCCATAAAATAAAGAGGAAAACGTTTACAAAATCACAAGATTTTCTACAAGGAGTCTGGAAAGAATCCCGGTTTAACTCACATCCATGTTGGCTACGTCCATCTTTATACAGCCCGTGTTTACACTTAATTTAAATTAAAAAAAGAACAGCATATCAACCAGCCTAGCAGGTGATCTTCGCTTCCAGTGATGCGCCGTGCGTCTCCAAAATCTGCTTAGAAATATGCAGATAAATTCTTTCGTTGCATAACAATTAAGGCTCGATAGTTTTGCTTTTGTTAAAAAAAAAGAATCCAGAAGTCATTAAAATTAACCTTTTTTCTAAAAAGAAAGGGAAAAAAAAGGATTAAAAAAAATCCACAATATGAAAATTATAATTTTAAAAATACCACTTTTAGTGACATGGCGGCAAGTTAGCCGTTTTTGGGGAACACGTTTTCTGACAAATGAGCAGCAGGTCATTTCCATATATATATATATATTTTTTTTTTTTCCCATTTCTTGTGTTACTGGAGGCACATTACTCCAGAAGAGCAGGACTGTATTTGCTGCTAATTACCTGTGTCTTGATTACTGTCTTCAAAGCTACGAGACAACGTGCATTTAGGAATTTGAGTCCCATGTTTTCCAATTTCCAGAGTCTCTTATGTGTTTTTAAAGCTGCAATTACAATGAAAACCATTTTAACAACTTGATGGTTATGATTTTGTTCATGTCATATAAAGGCATTAAAGTAAATTTAAGTGTAAAAAAAACAAAAAAAAATGGCATTATGGAAGCATATAATCTAATAAACCAAAAACACAGTTCAAAGATAAAATGTCCAAGACAGCCCATCTACAGTCCAAAGCAGTAATAAGTAACAGATGTTAATGCAAGAGCGCAAGTTACGAATACAAACGTCGCACACAAAAGGTAACCTCTCCAAAGTGTCTCAGGGAGGAAAAAACTGAAAAAGTTCCATCATTGGTGGTCAGTTCCCCGTTGCTGGTGATGTCGCCCGGTTTGACCAGGCACCAGTGACTGGAATGCTTCCCTCGGCGGCGGCGGCGGCGGCGTCAAAACCAGAACAGTCTGTTCCGCTGCTTCGCCACCAGGACCCTGTTTAGTTGTCGTCGTCTCCTCCAGCTTCGTTCTGAACACTGCCTCACCCTTTCGTGGATAACTGATGTGAAGAGGATTTCGCTGAAGTGGTGATGGGAGGAGGGGGGGGCGTGGCTTTTTTCTTTTTTTCTTCCTATTCCTGGTGAGTCACTTCACAGATTTTCAGCAGTTTTTTTTTTTGTTTGTTTGTTTTTTTTAAAAAGAAAGCAAAAGAGTAGAAAAAGGGGGGGAGTGGCATCCAGATGCATGGCTCTGTGCGGAGTCTCTGTACACGTTAACAGACGGGCACCTTTCAAGCCCCTTGGCGGGCGCTCGGTGACGTTTCTACTCGGATTTGTGGCAGTATAAGTCTTTGAGGGCTTTAAGTTCCTCAATGAGGGTTTTGTTCTGGTTCTCCAGCACCGCCACGCGGTTCTCAAGACACTTGACGTACTCCTTCTTCTTCCTGCGACACTCTCGGGCTGCCTCCCTGTGTGACAAAGAGCACATGGAGATGACAGAGCAGTGTTTTGGTTTTAACATTTATCTCGTTAGCCCTCAGACCCAGAATGCCAAAATCAAAACTCAAACTGAGCTCATTTCATCCAGCAGTGCTATCCAGAGCCTGCTTGCTGCAACAGAAGTCAAACAATCTCGCCATTTTATAACATACAACTAGCAAGTTATGCTAACAGACGTGATGCAAAAACTCTCTTAGCCCTAAAACCTGCTCATACATTTGGAGGCCATGTTAAAAGTGACTTTTTTTAAATTATAGAAGTACAAAAATAGTCAAAACTGGAGTGAAACATTTCTCCACGTCCCCACAGGTGGGACCATGACTGAGAAAAATGCTGATATCTCCAACAGAAGTGATCCAGTTACTGTAATTACAC